AGTTTGCATGTTAGAAGGCTTCATGAGGCATCAGCCCTGGCACTTTATGACAGGGGCATGTGTTCAGGTAGTGGCAAAGTCCATGTAATGGTTGGACACCCAGAGAAGCCAAGTACCTGCTGGTCCCAGGGAGTTGGGATTTGTCTACATTGCCTAAAACCAACCTGATATAAATAATACTAGAAATAAGAGAGTGCTGGATTCAGTGTCAGATCAGTGTCTGGTTCTAACTCTGCCAATGATTTCTGGAGGGGTTTTAATTATCATGTCGCCATATATGTCTCCCGGTCTCCATCTGTAGGACAGAAGCCTTGTAAAGTTGCTTATTTTGTGGATGTATTTATTAATGCTCTGATGTGCCCAGATCTTCAGGACACGTTCTAGAGAACTGTTCAATATCGTCTGGGGTCCATTTGGTGCAGAGTAAAATACTGATGTGTCATCACTGGAAACTGAAATACAGTGCTTGTCATGAAAGAGCTTCGATGCTGGCAGTTACTGTTCAGACTGTCCCTCTGCTGTTTTTTCCAAAACTGAAACCATCTTGAAAGAAGCACCGAGCAAATAAACAGTGTCTTTCATTTCCATGATCCACTCAGCCATGAATATATGGCATTTCCATGTGATTTCTGTAACACTAGTGTTCGGTACATCTTTGTAGAAAGTTTTGTGACAAGGGCAGTGGTCTGTAAATCTTGATTATGTCTGTTATGGCAGTCTTTGTATTGCAAACTCTTGTCCCACTGGCATGGCATCCACTAAAGGTCTCTGCTTGCCAGAGAACAGCTTGCCCAATGGATCAGGTCTCCCAGGATTCACAAAAAGGCTCTAAGGATCAGCTGAGCTCTGTGCACAATACTTTTGTTTTATTTTGTTTCCTTTTGATTGGTTCAGATGGTCCAAATATTTGCAGAACTCCATTAAGTCCTGTTTGGGATGAAGTCATAAGTTCCACTTTCCACCAAGGCATGGAGCCTGTCCAAATTAGTGTCAAAGCCTATATAATACCCTGGCTATATCGTAGGCTTGTATAGTATCAAGATCCTGTTTTCACAGCAGTTACATAGTTGTTACTCCAGTGAAGAATGATATGGCCTCTTATAAAGTCCACAAGCTGACGTCTGTTTTTTAGTGTAATATTTACACTATTCAAGGAGCTAAAAGAAGGCTTTGCTTTAATAGATTCCTTCAGCTAATGTTTTCCCCTATACAGATGGGTTATTGTTTCCAGCTTTTGATACCTATGTGGTTTTGTATATTAGGGCCTCATTTTTTGTTTGGCTTTTTTTTTTTTCTTTCTTTTTTTCCTTCTGGAGCAAGGGAAGGGTCTTGCTATTATCATTAAGTTGCCTTGCAGTTTTCTCTGAGGTTTTATTTGAGGGTCAGAACACTGAAGACACTAAAACATTCAAAAAACCCTGGCACCCTGTTGCCTCCCTCCTCCCCACCCTGAATTGCTTTCTGCTTTTGATGTATCTTCCTGTCTCTGAGAGGAAACTTGGTACAGCAATTTCTTACCATAGGCAGAACTCGCATAACTTAAGCAATGAAAAGGGTTTTTCCAATGACTCTGATGCTACAGGCATGAACTTGTCTCTCTTTTGAAAATATTGCCCAGGTGATAGCTATAAATAACACTGTGCCACCTCATGATTTCATGGGGCTAGATAAAATCTATATGTTCATCTCAAGTATAAGTAGCTTTCTGGGGCTTCATAATGGAAATAGGGTGCCAGGTTTTAAGTACATAATCACATTTATTTTAGTGATGTAAAACACACATTGGCAGCCATAAAATTCTGGTCTGAAATAGGGAGTGTGGAGGACTACTGAAATTAGATGGACTTTTCTGCTTAATATGCTTCTGGGTCAAAAGAACTTCTGCAAATGGGGATTACATAGTGGAATATCTGCTAGAACTTTTTTAACCTCAGCAAAGTACAGCTACAGCTTCAGTCTAGGCTTTAGTTCAGGAAAAAAGCTTACACTTGCTATGTTCCTCTGAAACCATTTTTCTCCCAATTCTAATTAAAACTAAAACCAAAACCAAATGATAACCTGTACAGACTCAGAGTTCAGACCAATTTGTAGGGGACAGAGAATGGTCAAAAGCAGGATATACCAAGGACCTTATCTCATTTGGCAAGCTAACCACATATGCAGATATACTTTAGGGGATCAGAATCTTCTTATCCTTGGTTCTGATTATGAAATTTCTAATGGCTTGTGCTCAGGTAGGAAATTATTCAGAATTCTGATTTATTTTTTTTTAGTTTATCAATCCTGATGCTATTCATCCTACGTGTCTAAAGTAGACATCTAGAAAGGTTAGTTGCCGCATTCTAGCATTTTTTTTCCCCTAAAGAATTTTAAGGGGAAAAAGTATTGTTGCTTATTTTGGGGTATAAAGCATGGATCCAGGCAGTCCTTACTTTACGTGTGTTTGTTTCTTTAGTTGGAGTTCAGAATGGAGGCAGGAGATGTATAGGGAACATATGTATGCCCTGTTCTGACAACGTTCTTGTGACTTGTACTCTGCAAAAAAAAATTACAGTTGTCACTTGGGCTTTTATAATTCTATACAAAGAAAAATTTCACAAGGGCGAATGAGCACGCCTTGCACTTCAGATTGCTGGCTCAACCTCACTCCCTGCAGAATGACTTTACTTCACTACCTCTGGGTTAGCTCCCTATATCTGTTGTTCTCTCTGTGTATAAGATTATCTTATAAAAATAATGCTGCATTTATCTATGGTATGTTTTAATTTATTTTTCTATCATCAAGGTCATGTATTGACTTTTGCACAGGAGGTTACAGTCTGCTGAGTGTGAAACTGTTGTCAGAGCTATGATTGCCATCATATATTCACAGAACAGGGACAGCAGAAGGCAGTCAACCCATATCATATAGTCTGGCAATTCTAACTGGCTATTGGTAGGGGGCTGTGTATTTCTGTAATGTGCCATTTGACATGGATTTGGGTCCATCACATTCCTGCTGAGTGTGGCCAGGAAGGGGCAGTAAGGAAAATCAGAACTTCTCACTTAATTCAAGGTGAAGCTTGATGAGGCCCTGGGCAACCTGGTCTCGTTGTGGGTGTCCCTGCTGACTGCAGGGAGATCGGACTAGATGACCTTTGGAGGTCCCTTCCGGCCTGGACAATTCTATTCTATATTATATTAATTTGAGAAAGGTCACCTTGTTCTTAATTGCACCATTTATTATCATGAGGTGGTGGGTGCATAACAACTGTGGATGCAATTGGTATCTCTTGTGACTTTGTCAGCCTCTCATACCTTTCATACAGTGGTAGTCTACTATATGATGCTGTGTTTCAGTCTTCTGCGCTTCTTAATTGTTCAGTTGAAAGCAAGGGCTGAATAAAGTGTTGTGATCTGTGCAGGATGTGTCTGTGCTGCAGTCCTTTGCTAGATGGGGACAAGGCTGTTCTGTGGGTATCATGAACAGAGATACTCCTTTAGTTTACACTGAAAGACCAGTGGAACAAAGAGAGGGGAAAGAAAGATACAAGTCTCGGTTGTGATTTTGTTTTTAATTCTAAATATGAAGTTTTTGATTTGTGTAGAATTGTTGCCATGGCTTGGTATGTTGCCTGGCAGGCACTTGTCAGGTAGCAAGATGTTTTCTGAATGTGGCTCAACAGGGAGCATGTAGAGATATTTCTCATCTCTAACCCAAACAGTTCTGGAGTAGCTGAGGAACTCTGATAGACCTGCATGTTTAATATTGCTCTCTATATCATCCAGAGTAATTCTTCTAGGATGAGCAAGCATTCATACACAGACCACATTGGTGAGATTCACACAAACTTCATACACCTTTGGACATCCTTAGGATGAATCAAGTGGTGCAATCTTTTATCATATTCTAGGAGTCTTAATATGAGTTATTTGTAGTTTATAATGGGAAATTAGAATCCTAGAAACCAATCATAATTTTGTTGGTCACTGTTTCACCTATCTAGAAATAAAAGATACGTTAGAATGAAATCTCATTTCCATTGAGCCGCTAAGGAACAAGAAAAAATTGGTTCCTGAGTAGGGTTATGTCTTCCTTTATAAAAGTTGAGCTCAGTTGAGCTTAGTCTAGTGAAGATGATTTCAGGTGGATTATTTGGATTATAGAAGGATTAATACTGCTCCTATAGTAATTGAGGGGATGCTGTTCTTTTCCTCTGGATGTTCTAAGGTTGTGCTTAACTTTTTACAGTAGAATAGCATATTTCAGTCACCTACAGTGATCATCTGGTCCAACTGCCTAACCACGTCAGGGCTGACCAAAAACTAAAGCATGCTATTAAGGGCATTGTTTAAATGCATCTTAAACACTAACGGGCCTGACAGATTGTCCACCTCTCTAGGAAGCCTGTTCCAGTGTTTGACCACTCTTTCAGTAAAGAAATCTTTCCTCAACCACTTTTTGGTTTATCACGTCAAAATGATGCAATCTTTTCAGCTTCTTTTCAGGTTCCTTGACTTGATTTTTTAATTATTTTTTTTTCACATAGCAGATGTTAAATGCCTTTGTTGGTAAATCCCAACATCACTCCAGCAGTAGAGAGGCAAAATAATTTAGAAGATCTGACAATATAAAGCTACAAAATGTTAACCTGTTATCTGTGTACGGCCTCTGTATGGGCTATCTTTCTACTTGGAAACATAGTGTATTTAAGGGACTGAGATTTGCTTCTTAGATGCCAAAGATAACTGTGTCTTGATCAAACTTTATTATTATGTGTTCAATAACCTTAGCTGAAGGGGATTCTTCTTATCTGACACACCATGGTGATAGTGTTAACATTAAGCTTTCAGAAGTGTTTGTAATAAATGCTATAAAACACATGTATGTGCATTATACAAGGATATGGGGGGAGATACCACAGTAAAGAGCAGTGCAGTGAAGAATCCCAGGTGGTTCTATGGTGGCATTTAATTCTGTAAAGGCTCCTTGTGTAAACTTGTTTAATTTTCTGTTTCAGGAACAAGAAGATCCTAATAAACTCGCTACCAGCTGGCCAGATTACTACATTGACCGCATCAATTCCATGGCAGCAGTAAGTTACCTCTCCTGCAAAGCCAGGACGATTTCCTACCATAGAGATGTGTCTCTTTAGGATGAATTCCCTAAAGGAGAGGAATGTCAGCCCAAGTGCATGATCAATTTAAAATAGGACTTTGGAAAGAAGATGAGTAGGTGTATTAAGAAAGAGCCCTGTTCTAGCAGAAGAATAGATTAGAAAGCACTGTAAGCATTTCCAGTTTTTATTTCTACAATGCTGAGTGCTGAAGGCAATCAAATTAAATTCTAGAATCAGAATCTAGATTAGATTCTGGAATTCAGAACTGGAGTAATGAGATTAGTGATTTAAAATTATTTACGTGCCAGCTGTGAAGGCTATCATAAAGTGTAGCCCTAATCCTTAGATCTCTGCTCATTGGCACTGGTCCTGAAAAGAAGGCACAGAAATGGCTGTGGGCCTCGTTTGAATTCCTGTACAATTAAGCTGTCTTTAAGCTGTAGTAGACCATAATGATCTTGAAGAGATTGTCATGCTCTTTAGTGTTGTTGGAGCACAAAGGTAGTTCAGCTATGACCTCTATTTTGGACATTTTGAGGAATGTTAATATAAATCTAGCTTTCAGCACATGCACACACTCGTGCTTGTATCTTGGCAGGAGTAGCCATTCTGAAACTGTGACAATTGAAAGCATCTTTTTCCAAAACTATACTTTTAGCTGCAGTTAGCATTTTTGGAGATCTGTGTGTCATTTGGGCCAAGTAGAGGTGGAATAATTCGGTTCTTAAGAGGAATCTTGAGTGCAGCCTGTAAGTGAGGATTATATGAAATTGAGGACAAGAGGGAGCCAAGGTCCCTATTTATCCCTTCAGAATAGAAGAACAAGAGAATGTTTGGTGAATCAGAAAAGCAACTATTTGTAAACTAAGTAAAGTTTTGTTATGTGGTTTCAAATTGATTTCTAACTAATCTACAAAATAACACTGAGGTCATTAGTCTAGTAGAAGAATTAAAGAAAAGGTAGTTGTTTATGTAAGATAAAATCCACTTATAGAAGAGCAGATAAATAGAGGAACATAAAGCTGTAACACCTTAGACATCAGATAGAAGCTAACAAAATATTTGAGGAAAACTTTCTGTAATTGTCCTTGTTCAATAGCTATATAATTCTTGTGGTCTGGGCTCAAACCAGGACAATAATATGTCTCTTCCTCTGAAGCATACAGTAGAGCTGGTTACCAGCAGAAGCAAAACACCTGCATATAGCATCCACTGATCTCCTTTGATACCGTATTTTGAAATTAGATCCTTTTACTGATTTTACAGCCAAATTTTGCCTCCAGTTATTCATGTGCAATGTCTACTCAGTCTTTTTTGTCAGTTGTGCAGAAGTGATGATAGAATTCTGTTTCTAGCATCTTAGGTAGCACACCTTATTTGTTTACTTATACTTTTATGTTTGATATCTAAAGGCTTCTCTGCACCTTTTGTATCGTGAATATGAGCTATAAAATAATTTCATAAAAGTAATGCCTTAATGGATGCTAAATGTGTCAATACTGATGAATTTCTCATGGTGAAATATGTCTTGCTCAGTAAAAAAAAATATCAAGATTTACAAGTTGTTATAACTCACTGTTAGAGGATGAAAGAAAAGCTGCTTTCTACTGTGAGTCATGAATAACCAAAATGATCACCTTCCCTCATGCCAGATTTTCTTAGGGCAGAGTAATGAAACAGAAAGAATGTTTTGAGAAAATGGGTTGAGCTTTTGTGACTGGCATGGTATTGTGCTTTGATTTCCTGACTGAACAAATTTGCTCTACAAGGACCATTAGGGAAAAAAATGAGTATGAAACCTTGCAATGTCACTGAGCCAAATACTTCTGGTAGGATTTGATCCAAGGGCTCTTGAATCCACTGAAAGTTTTTCCATTGATTTCAGTGACTTTTGGATTAGGCTTTAAATGATCTTGATGTAAACCTGGAGTGAATATGTACACGCCACTATTGTAAATCTGGAGCAGTTCCATGGAATGAGACTATATTTTGGCCATGTTTCTAATTTTAAACATGTTTTAAGAGCACCAATAAACACCAGCCCCATAATGTTGTTTGCATGCCTCAGCACTGAATGATTGATAACCTTTTATTTGGGTTCAAGTCTCATGATTTATTCTTACACTTGAAGTGTTAAGAAGACACACTGGGGTTAAAGCCCCTACTTCTGATTTACCACTTAGTTGCTTCCCTCTTAGGCAGGTGAAACTTAGTTGACTTGGTTTCACAGGAATTGTATCAGTGGAAAACTGGAGTAATCCAGCTGAGAACCAGCTCCAACACACTTTAAAAGACATGTTCTATTCATTATTATTTAGACCTCTGAGATTCTTAACTTCCAAACGGTTATTTTGGGTCCCTTATAATTTCAGTTCTAAATTTAGTGGTGGGGTTTTTTTAATTTTTGTTTTTTTAAACTGCATCCAAGTGGAGTTGGCTCAGAAGTGGTGAAAGAAAAACATGTTTCAGGTTGCTTCCTGACACTGTCTAGTCTATTTCAGTTTCCCTCTCTTGGGCACTATCAGGTATTGCGATATTTTAATTAGAAATATTACAAGAAGTATTAGAGTTGAAATGGTAGCAATAATCACAAACTGTTAGTTTAAAATACCTTAAGTTCTGTTTTTTTAATAAAATTTAATCTTTGCATCTCCTGTGAATTAACTGCATAAGAATCTTTTTACATGTGGCTTTCACATAGTTTCCTATGTCCTTTTGTTTAATTCTGAAATTATTTTTCATATATTAGCTTGGCAAAACAGTTCTGCCTACCCACTGATGAAATGGAAATGGCACCTTTATCCTGCTGATATCATTAAGTATCTTTCTGTGCGTTTCAGCACTCCAAGGCCCCTGTACTCAAGGATCATTTTCTCAGAAGACCCTCTGCAGTGTTACCCCACCATATCTGCCCCTCACAGATTATGCTTGAGAGCAATGTGGTGATTCCTGATGTGTTTGACATTCCCTACTTGTAACCTTAGACCACTATGTTAGGAAGCACTTTAGGTCACATATTCCTGATCCAGTTCAAAAAGCCAACTGTTTTAGGCACAGTTCTGTTCCCACAATCATTTCTGTTGCTGTGACTTTTTAGGTTTTAATAGTTTAAAAACTTAATTCTCACAGGAGCATATGACAGTAAAACTGGATCTCTTTACTAGTCTGTAGTGTGCATTTCCTGTGGTCGGACTGTCCCATCCTTCAGGTAGCCTGACTGCAAGGACGAAGCTGTAGACCTGTAGAGGCCAAGTAGATCATTACAGAATCACAGACTTGTCTAGATTGGAAGGCACCTTTAAGATCATCTAGTCCAATCATGAAAAAACTAACCAACCAAACAAAAACACACAAAAAAAAAACCCCAAACCCCAACACCAAACAAAAAACACACAGCAACACTAAACCATATTCCCGAGCACCATGTCAGTTCGTCTTTTGAATATCTCCAGGGATGGTGTCTTACCCACTTCCCTGGGCAGCCCATTCCGATGTCTGATAACCCTTTCAGTGAAGAAATTTTTCCTAATATCCAATCTAAACCTCTCCTGGCACAACTTGAGGCCATTTCCTCTTGTCCTATCGCCTGTGACTTGGGAGAAGAGACCGACTCCCGCCTCTCTACAGCCTCCTTTCAGGTACATGTAGAGAGCCTCCTCTAGACTGAACAACCCCAGTTCCCTCAGCCTCTCCTCACAAGACTTACTCTCCAGACCCCTCACCAGCTTCATTGCCCTTCTCTGGACCCACTCCAGCACCTCAATGTCTTTTTTATGGTAAGGGGCCCAAAACTGGACACAGTACTCGAGGTGAGGCCTCACCAGTGCCGAGTACAGGGGGATGATCACCTCTCGGGTCCCACTCACCATGCTGTTCCCGATACAGGCCAGGGTGCTGTTGGCTTTTTTGGCCACCTGAGCATTGGTAGAGTATCTTCTAGACCAGTCTTTCAAAGAAAGGGACAGCTGCTAATGATGTCTAATTTAGAAAGAGGAGCCTCCAATTTTTTTCCACTTTTCTGATGTCTACATGCTATAAATAATACTGGTGATTGTGGGTGGGTTGCACACCCACTGTCAGAGACCATTTCCATTATCAAGGTCATTGTCATCTTCTGCTGATTCATCAACACACAAAACTTCTTTTCTTAAAAATGCAGCAGCTGCCCTGTTAATATCACATGTAAAGAAACCACCCTGTGCTCCTCCTGCCCTCCTCACCCTATGATACTGTCTGCTTGGCAGCACAAATAAACACAGACCTCGCTTTACTGGGAGGAAAGCTTCTGACAGCGCCGTGTGGCTTTTATGAGCTTGGCTGTGGATGCATTTCCAGAGAGAGACTTTCAGGTGAACAGTAGTTGCAGATCCAGCTTTTCCAGAGAGATGGCTTGGTTGAGAGTATGAGACAGGGGTCAAGATTAATAAATGCAGCTGTAATCAGGCCCTTTTCCTTTCCTTTTCAGAAAGCATTTGTTCAGGGCGGAGCAGCTTCACATGATGTTAAAATTATATATAATATATATCTATAATTTTATATAAATTCTGCTGAAATATATATTATATTTCAGCAGAATTTAGCAGGTGGATGATAACTCCTCCATCTGGGTTAGGTGACATCTATGTTACTATAAATTTATTTGCTTTAAAGCTTGGTTTTTAAAAATCAACATCTATTCATAGTTTATTCTCTTAGTTCAGCCTTAATTCTTAAAGTAGTATGGTCCACGTATGTCTTAGGTGGCATGCAAAGCAATATTTTTTAATCAAATTTTTATTTTAATTTTAGTGGTGTTTGTCAACTGGTAGTGATTTCAATAATGATAACACTGTTAGTTATGATTTTAGACAAGACCTAAAGAAACAGCTTGGACTATAATGAGAAATCAGAACATCCAGGTTGCTTTTTCTCTTTTTATTCCATTTGCTTCTTTCTTTTTTCATTTCATTTGTGTGAGACTGTTAAATAAAACTAAGTCCAACATATAGTGTGTTGCTGATACTAGTTCATGCCCTTTTTTCCTTTTTTTTTTTTTCCCCTTGCTCACACATACATACTGTCATTATGGTCCTGTATTTTCTTTCCCAGCTATTTAGGGGAATGAATAGCCATTAGGATAAGGTGTGGGAATTAATCTGTGCTTAATTAGCACATTAAAATATTTCGTTTTTAACAGAGCCAAATTTTCAAAGCAGTTTCTTGGACTACCTGAAGTTTTATACCTAAAATTCCATGTGAATGATTGTTTTCACAAATTCATTAATTTTTTTCAAATTGGCAAATTTATTAACTAGATGCTGTGCTTTCCTGGGTGATGCACTTAATCTGGAAAACTTTATATATGCAAAATAAGCTTGTAAAAAGAGAGCGTTATGTATATCACTTTTGAGGGACCAGATAAGGGTCTGGCACCGTTTTGCTTCCTCTTCCTAGTATGTTTGTTTAACTGCTAGTAACTAGCTGCATCCTCAGCTCAGCAGACATTAGTCCTCGAGTGTAGTTTGTAGTTCAGGAAAGCAATTCATCAGTCAGCCACATTAATGAAATCCAGCCTCAAATAATGACAGTTCCCTCCCCTCTGTCTCCCAGGGACAGTTATGTTTTCTATAACTCTTGTCGAGAAAGCTATTTCATAATGCAAACGCGTGACCAGCCTGTCTTTAGAGAGGGCACAAGGATTTGAGTTCCTGGCCATGCACAAGAGTGAGGAATGAAAGGCTCTTGGCTGCCTGCAGTTTTAGAAAAGGGGTTTTCTATAATCACCCTCTGTTGTAAAGGCAGGATTATTTGTATTTGTTTCATTTGGAAATGGTCCTTTTTCACTCTGAACGAAATACTGTTGAGCACCTTCCTACCTCCATTTGCTTTCCCCCCACAATGGCTCAGAGGAGAAATTAAGTCGTTGGAGGAATGGGAGCTTTTCAAAGGAGCATTTATAGGCCAAAGGAAAGATGACCAGATGGGCTGTCACCCAAGAAAATACAAATCAAGCCCCAAATCACACCCCAGGACTCTGCCATTGAGATTCCATAATGCCTGTACAGGATTTCTGTTTATTTTTTGAAGAGAGGGATCATATATGGCTTGGCTTAAGCATTTCAATTTATGTTTCTGGCTGTCGGGGGATGCTGGCAAAAGATAAAACATCATCAGCTCATTTTCCATCAGTAGCGCTCTGTCATTCCATTAGGGCAGGAAATAGCTTGCTCTGTTACTGAGTGAATTTGACTTTAGCGTGGATCAGAGAGAGGACCCCTAGAGTTAAACACATCTCCCTCTGCCAGCTGTTCAGCATAAGACAGCAACGGCATGGAGCCAAGTGACCACCCTCAGGATCCGACATGTGTTGGCACCACATGGTTTGCAAAAGCAGAGCAACATGGGAGCACTTCCAAGGGAAGTGAGGTGTTGGGGAGTTGGTGGGAGGGGGGACGAGACGGTTAAAGGAAGTTTCAGTGAGAGGAAGGTTTTCTTTGGTGCTTGCTGAACAGGAAAATAGAGACTTAAATATTTCGCTGTAATGGGCCATAATTGTAGCTACTCAGATTCCACCACAGAGAGGTATAATATCAGATCCCTGATAGATGATACTAGTTTAATTGGGTTATGCATTTGAGAAGGGGTCCAGAGCTGCTTTCCAGATACCACTGAGTGATATTCCCCAGAAGTCCCGCCAATAAGAGAGACATTTATCCTCTCTGTTTTACAATTAAAGTGACTAAGAAGGCATAGCTATAGGCTAAGAATTTCCAGCATTGAGTCTTGACTTCTTAAAAAGTCACACATTGAAGTTTTGAGCCTGAATGGTATATGCGATGGGGACTGCAGAGTCTTGTTTCACATCACAAGATTGCAGTGGTACTAAGTGTAAGTCTTGAACCCTGATTTCCTGATATACTGCTTTTTTAAATAATGTTTTCTGACTTTGAGAATCATATTTTTTTGCATGCATTCCACTCATTGTATCTCACTCTAAATTACAGTGACCCACAGCATCTTCAGTTCCCGCTGACTGCAGGCTCTAGTTATCTCAAGCTGCTTACTTGCACTGTGACCGTGTGCTTCAGTTTACTCATTAAAAAATAGGGACAGGGATTTTATGATGCTCCAGCATTTAGCAGCAAATGTTCCTAATTAACAAGGGCAAAGTGTATAAGGAAAACCAGTCTGTTAAACCCAGTGATATACTTCGGGTAGGGAAGAAAAGTCAAACTTAGATGTACACAAGCTGTAATTCAGGGTACTTGCAGACTGTTTCATCACTTGAAAAAAAAGCTTTTATGCTTTGAAACCTGACACACGGGTTTGGGGTTTTTTTTGTCCCTCCTCTCCCTCCATCTCTCAAATCCCTCCAGCCATGTCAGTCTAATAAAAGATATTACCTCTCCTCCCTACAAACTTTGCCTCACGTATCCATAGATTACCACAGCAGATCACTGTTCCAAGTAAGGTACAATTTTCTGAGGACATACTGCAAGTATGATTTTTGGGGGGTAATCTGAGACCCTATTGCCAGTGTGGCAAAGCAATGTGCTGCTGCCAGTCCACATCAGCAGCCTCATCTGGATTCAGTTTTGTAGCTGAGGCACTGCTTTCCTGGTGAGAGGTCGGCAGGCACCTCTGCATGGCTTGATGGGAGAGTTGTTTTTCATAATTCCTGGCCTGTTTCTTAGCTTCCAGGCAGCCTGAGCTGTCCTGATTGTCATCTTCTTTTCTGAACAGATGCAGACTCTCTATGCTTTCGATGAAGAAGAAACAGAAATGAAAAATAAAATAGTTGAAGACTTGAAGACAGCTCTGCGGACACAGCCCATGAGGTAATGTTGTTCATCTTTCACTGCAATTCACTGCCTCCCTATGGTCAGATGTGACACAGGAAAGAGTGGCAAGGACAGAAACCTTATTGTCTTGCCTCACACAAGCCTCTCTGACATTTCAGACAATCCACAGAGAGCCCTACAGTCCCTGGTCTGAACCTGCCTAGTTGGGAGGGCACACTAATGCTGAAGCATGTAGCTTCAGGAAAATAAAAGACAAAGTCTGCTGTGAAAAACCTGTGGCAGATCTGTGCAAACACAGGTAATGACTATGAAGATTAGATTTTAGACTTCATAGCCCCCTGAATATCCCATGTAATTTGATTCATGTTGGGGAAAATCTCAGCGTCTGCTCTGAACTTTGAATTCAGGCTTCCCCTTATCTTCAGTAATGTGAACTGTTTGGTACAAAGCAGCTAATCCATCTGACATCACCTGGGTTGGCATTCCTCCTGTTCTATGTGTAACTGTGGCACAGAGAAATGTTAAGAGACTTTATTGTGTACTGTGTCTTTGAAGGTAAGGTCATCTTTGTTTTTCTGGGAACAAAGCTCTGAACAATAGCAAACTAACTAGCACAGAAACCTTTTCCATTTAACACTTAGAAGAGCATTGTGCAGAAATAATAACTATAGTTGATATGAACTCAGGAATTACTCTGTCAAAAAGTTTCTAAGTGACTTTGTAATGAGTCCAAAATAGACCAAATGTGTTTGCATCCACACTATGCTGAAATCACAGTTTCAGAGAGGTTCAAAAAGTTTTTTTTTTAGGGGGAACCTAACCAAACAAATTAAATATATAAATAAAAACCACCCAAATAATTATATCAAAGAATTTACATTGCAATTATGTTGACTTGAAGTGAAGACATTTCTGGGACTTCTTGCAGAGTTAAGTGCTGATTGCGCTTCTCCCCTTCATGATGTTTAAAACGTTGACTGCATGCAGCTTCTCGCCTCCTGGCAAGTATGAGGTAGAGTGGATGAGCTTAAACCTCAGGGTTTTACCTCTTGTGATGGGCTGTAAGAGAGCACAGATCCTGGTGCTCCTCTGAGGCATAAAGATTCATGTGGCTTTGGTAACTTTAGCATGTGGGTAAAGCTGAGCACTGTTAACGTGGAAGTGGAGAAGGAGTGGCCTATATTGAGACGTAGCCCAAAGAGAAAAGTGACTGTTTGATCCTGTTTGTTGGTATCCACAGTAAAACGCAGCTGGATTTATGTTAAAATGCAAGCTAAGGCAACTGCCAAACTTCCAACTCTCACAAGGATTTTGAACCAAAGTCCTGTGCTGTGAAGACTTGATGCAGCAGCTCTGTTACATTAATGTGGAACTGGTCTGATGCTTCCTCTGTGAAAGTGGTAGCTTTCATTGAGCATAAGCAGAGCAGCAAGGCCTCTCTGCTACGTCCAGCTGAAACACTTCCGTGGTTACCATTGGTTGTTCTGTCATTTTGAATAGGACTGCCCAGCCTCCTTGTGAGAGCAAGGCAAAAGAGAAGAAAGAGAAATGTCTTTTGCTCAAAGCCCTGTAAGCTTTTCCTGCTCAGACCTATATTGCTTCTGCTGGATTCCATTGACAACAGCCTGTTGCTTCATCTGTTTATAATAACCCTAACAAGCTTCAGTACAAGCATCTATGAGCTGCCCTATAAAGTGTTCTCTTCTAAATCGCTGGCGATGGTTATAGGGATTTTTTTCTTTTTTTAAAATAGTTAAGCCAAGCCAAATTTTGAGTTAAGTCCTACGTCTCAACTAATTTCCAGCGACTCAATTCGTTAGCTGCCAAATGGGCTGTATGCCAATACATGATCAACAAGCCAATTTCTTCTTGATGGAAAGGTTGCAGTAGAGAGGCCCTCGGCTCCATCAAATCCCACTCATAAGCAGTACTATACCCAAGCCTTCAAAATACTAGTCTTTCTAGTTGAATTTGGACATCAAATCCTATTTTCCTTGCCACTTCTGTTCATCAGGCCTCTGAAGAAAATTCACACAGAATGGACTGTCTGTAATACTTCTGTGATTGTAGGGTACACAGGAGCTCTGACAGCTTACCAATAGGCTCCTCTGCTTGAATTCTCTGATCTAGGGAAATCAAAGGAAGAAAAATACATGTGTTTGGCGCTGTGTTTTATTTTACTGTAGAACCGGGTCTCTTTTAGTATAAAATGCAGTGTAATTGTACTAATTTTCGCCTCTATTCCAACCCACCAACTCTAACGGCAATAAAAACCAAAGCAGATCTACCCGATCTCAACCTCTCTCTTTGGAGAAAAGGTGATAGAAGCATCCCTGAGCAGCTAGTTGGCCCCATTTGAGCAAGTGCATTTTTTTCTGGTATTTAGAAGCTTCCCTGAAATAATAAAGACAGGTTATGTCCCAGCATGCAGGAACAACCCCAGCCTTAGAGAACAAAAACCCCACATCTGCATCTTGTAAGGAATCACATTTTCTTTTAGGTTTGTAAGAACTTAGGACTATAAACAAGTGTGATGACAAATTGTTGGACAGAAGCAGTGAGAGAAGAGCTTTGCTTTTGGTATTTTAGTGCCCAAAAATGGATGTTCAGAAGTTCAGCAAAAGTAAAAACTTACAAGGGACTGGAAAAAAAAAATCACTTTTTGGAACACCAGAAAAATACCTCCTTTAGTCTGAATCATCGCTAACTCTCCTTGCTGTCTGCTTTTCTCCTTTTGTTTAACTCAGATTTACCTCCTGTTATTTTTGTTTGATTTAGCCATGTTGCATTCAAGTACATAGTGGAGAGGATAATTTATGCATCCAGCAAGCAAAACCCATTGTGCTGAATTTTTCAGCAGTTCAGTAGTTGTCCGGATGATGTGTGCCTCTAGATTCAAAAACTGATGCTGCAGGGAAGCGAAGCCTTAGCTGTTAACAGGGTGGGAACATCCTGCTCTCTGCACACCCAGAGCATATGATCTCTCTGTCTTTCCTGAGCTGGATCAAGTCTCACAGGGAGGCTGTCCCTCTCTACACTTGGAATCCATCAGTGGGTCATTACCTCTCAGGCTGCACCGCATCTGTGTTTGGATGAAAGGTTTGTTATTAGAGCTAGCTAACTCATTTTGATCAGCACTCTTTAAAACTTGAAAGACTAAAAGGCGCCCTGCCTTTTAAAGTGTGCTAAACTGGTCAAGTGAGAGTCTGAGGTGAGGTTGGGCTTTAATTTGCTTGTTTAGCACCTATTAAAACACACCCTGCTTTATTTACACTTGAGTTTTTGAATGTGTTAGCCAGAATGCATTGGCAAATGTGCTTAACTTTACACCTTCCAGTCTAGAACAAGGCCTTATTTTGCAGCCTACAGGCTGTATAGGATGGCAGTTCGTTACACGCATGTATATTGTGAGGAAGAAGGTACTTTATTTGTATGAGTTGTGTATGTGCACAGGCAAACACCACACACACACATCCCTGCTTACAGACATACAGATGCACAAACACCAAACGGTGTGAGGATTATGGCTCTCAGCCTCTCAGATAAACTCCCACTTATTTTTCTCTGCACATGCCTCCCCACATACAGGCTCACACCAAGCAAATTCTCCTACTGAGAGTGTCTGTTGGCTCAGAAACTGCTGTTGCCATTTGTTTATCTTCCTTTTGCATGATTTCTGGCTTTTCCGGAGAATAGCGAACTAAATGTTTTGGAAAAGGAAGGTGAAAACCAAGGTTTGATTTTTGCTTCTGTTGTCAGCTTAAATGGGAAGGTACTTGATTTTGCTTCCTATTGAGTAATGCAGCTTACTGTTTGCTCTCTGGACTAGGAAGAGTGCAGGAAAATCCCAACATTGTTTTAAATTATGTCATTAATCAAGGTCTGTGACACACACCACTTTCCTGCGCATGCCTCCTTTTTGGAATGACCTCATCCAAACAGTCTGAGAAAAATTGCTCTGCCAGTGAATTTAGTAGGGATTGTATTTAATTGGGACAATGTGACTTTTGTGGGTTTACCATTTTTTCACATGGTCATCAGAGCAGGCTAATATACATGAAGGTTGTAGTGCCTTGTATGTCTTGTCATAAGACTAGGTGTTCTATCTGAAAGTATATTTAAAAGACCCTTTGTTCTGCTGCTTCTTTAGGATGTTTTTCTTTCTGTCATTAGAGCTCCATATCTTCAGAAAAGTATCTGAAGTCTTCCCTCAGCCCTGGAACTGGAAAGAACAGAAAAA